CATGTCTTTCTTGATCCTCAGTGTCTTGTACATGCTGGCACAAAACAATTTGTGGGGTAAAGGGATGAATTAACCTCTAACTCATGACCCCATGCATTGGTACCACCCTGTCTTTCTCTGTACTGCCGCCCAAGTCCCATTTTACAAGTATTGGTTTACTGTCTGGCTCCTCTAGTTCTGTATCTACTTTTCAGATCACTGAGCTCACAAGGGAACCCACAGCCTCTTAGCAAAGGCTGCCCAGAACTAACCACAATGTCTCTGGTGGTCCAATCTGATCCCCAGCTCTTTTTCTGCTATTCAGGGGCAGGGTAGTTTCCCTTTGTTGTTTGTCCCTTCACTTACCTCTCTTAAAAACTGTTCTGTATAACTTTTGACTACTTCTTTTACTTTCTTGATTCACGTGTAGGACAGTTCGCTTAACAAGCAGTGTATATGTATTGAATGCCTCACGTTTGTCTAGTGCTATTGATGTATCCCAGTGACTGGGGAGATGATATACACATCTGAAATGGTTAAGTGACTGAAAAAGGTAGAATATAAACGAGAATCAAAATGGATGGTAAAAATAACACCCCCTTAGGAGTTCAGTGAAGGGTGGAATCATCATGTACTGATTGGAATCAGTTCCAAAGAGATAGGAACAAATATTTACCCAGTGCCTACTCCATTTCTAACATTGTCATGGATTCCCCCATGTTAATTTTTCCGACAACACTGGGGTCAGTACTATCCCCAAGTTACTGATGAGGAAACAGGTATGGGAAGGGAAGTGACTCACCTAACATTACAGGGTTGGGATTTGAACCCAGGTCAGCCTGATTCTGAGGTTCCTGCTTTCTGCACTATACTATCTCCTTTCCAGCAGAGTTGGGGAGACTTGTGCTAGACAACAAGTAGGAGTGGGGTTCAGGTCCAAGTACTTAGAAAATTAAGATTTGGCTGAACAAAGGGATGATGGGAAGTTATTTTAGGTGAACGCATCATCACAAACAACAGCTAAGAAATGGTTGTGAGCCTGGTGCTGTGGGACAGATGAGATTGGTCTAAATGGATGTTTCTAATCACAGCTAAATTTTGCTTGTTGTTGTTTAGACTCTGTTTTCTTTTCTTAACTTTTAACATCCCATTAACTTAGTGACTGTACTTATTAAAGACATGTTATATAACAGAGTTCAGCAACATTGCTTTTTTTACACCCTTATCTTTCATTGAACATTTTTGTATAGATATTTTAAAATGTGTCTTTGGTGATTAATATCTAACATTTTCATGTATCCTGAAATCTTTTTTAGACTATGATTTTAGAAGTCTTTGCAGCAGACAGTCCAAGGCCCTAATTTGGAAAGAAGTTAACTAACTGGGCCTTTCAGGTCAGCCCTCTGAGGCAGTTTGAGGGAGTGGCCCTGATACATGCACTAGACCATCTCTCCACTGGTGAGTTAGGATTGCTTAAGAAAAGCCTGCTCTGCTTGGAGCCATGGTCTCCTGCCAGTTTGTAAATAGCCTTGTTCCTAATTTATCTCACTTCTCTTTTCTGAGCCAGTGACCCAGATTCATTCAGCTGTAGGAAGCTGCACAGAGCTGTGCAGACAGGTCTCCATGTCGCTGTACTGGTAAAAGTGAGGAGAAAATCACAAGCTGCCTGAAAACGGTGAGCAGATAATAGAAAAACTCTCACACAATTATTTTAATTCAAACCAGATCTGTGTTAGGGACTGAACCGCCCAATTCCTCCGAGATACATGTAAGTCCACCCATATTTGGCTTCTGCCCCATAAATACAGTCTACTTCTCCCACCACTAGATGGCAATCTCGTTTTAAAGCAGATTTTATTCAAGCAATAATGCTGTTCAAACTAAAAAGTAAAAAATGAACTTTTCACCCTATCAGGTTGGCAAAAAAAAGTCTTAACATTCGTGTGTTAATGAATATGTGGGAAAGCAGAAAATTTCAGACACCAGTGGTGGGAGCATAAGTTGATTTTGGAGAGGAATTTGGCAGTAATGTTTAAGCTGTGCACATCCTGGGGCCAGCAAAGACATGTCCAGGTGTGATCATTTGATGATGATGATGGCTAACATTTATTTTGTTCCCATGATGTGCCAGGCACTGTTGTAAGTGCTTGTATCACTGTACTACTACTACTATAATAGTATATACTATAATTCCCCCCCCCCCCCCATTTATAAATGAGGAAACCCAGCAAGAAAGGTCAGGTAACTTGCCTTAACTTCACAGAACTAGTAAGTGGCAGAGACATGATCCGCACCCTACTTCCACCACGTTGCATGTGCCTCCTGTGTGCCAGAAAACACGCACACATAGGGGCGTTCCATGCAGCATTGTCAGTAGTAGTAAAACATTGTGAGCCTGCCAGCCCATTGATGAGACAATAAAGCATGAGGGAATACTGCAGTGAAGTTAAAAGCCGTGCACTAGATCTGGAAGTGGTTAACTGGAGAGATCTCAAAAACAAATGTTGAGACAAAGCAAGTAAAATCCATATACAGAAAGCACAACTGTATATTATTCACGGAGACCAGCACAGGTGGTAAAACTATAAAAGGATACACTGGAAAGATATCCTCCATATTTATGATGGTGTTGGTCTCAGGGGAGACAGAAATGAGATTAGGGAAACCAAGACAAGGGCTTTTTTCTGTGATCTATTATTCTCTCTCTCTCTCTCTCTTCCTCCCTCCCTCCCTCTACCTCTTGAGCAAAAAGGAAAAAACTCAGCTCGTAACCCAGATCATTTTATGATTCGAGCTGCACAAATGCATGACTAAAACCTGACAATTGTTATTGTCAGGGCAACATACAAGCCTTTTGCTTAATCAGGGGCACCTATCTCCCCAAAGAGATTCTCTAAAGCTCCCTCCTATAGTATAAATAACTTACGAGGTTCAGTAGGTTAGACTTCCAGCAACAGCGCATCTCTTTGCTTAACCTGTAGGCCTCAGAGCCAGGGAGGGAGGAAAGCGAGAGGGGAGGGGGGAGGGAGTCAGGGAGATTCAGTTCTGCTTTTTACTGAGTAATTGTTTGGTTTAAGACAGTGTTTCTCTTTAGGGCACCAGCTCCATACAACTGAAGTATTTAAAAATAAAAAGTTCCAACTATTTTCTTGCTTAACTTTTTGTGTGTGGGGGAGGGAGGGTAGGTTATAATCAAATATTTAATTGCTCAGGTGGAAGGATACAGTGATTAAAACAAATTACCCCTCTACAGCTCCTTTTAAAACTGGTAGGCAAATTGGTTACCTAGACACACATTCACTATGACTAACCCTCTTCCCGTATTTACCAGAGTCAACAAATATGAAAGCATAGGTCAAATGTTGACACATTTTCCTAGAACTGTAATAGGTTTATAGAGGTTAATGTTCTCTGATTAACTGGCGCTAATGGCTTTGAGCAAGAAGCCAGGTCTGAGGGGAAAAGAAGGCATACATTTTTCGAAAAAAATTGACTTTTAATGTCAGCATGGAGCTTTTGTCAGCTGCTTTAAATGCACTTATTAAGTGCATTAACAAGAATGTGTAGAATTGCAGGAGAGAATGCAGACAGCTTTGAATTTAATGGATTCTCAAAGCTCATGACTGTAAGGCTACGTTTTGTACTTCTGTGAGGAAGCCCCCTCAGAAGAGCATTTATATCACCTTTAAAAAGTATTTTAATTACCTCATTTAGAGACTCTCTCATAACAAGTCCTGTTTGTTTCACTGGAGTTTACTATGCTATGTATCTCTTAGGGGAACAGGTAGTATCCAAAAATTAGTAACATACATGTTAATTCTTGAAAAATTCTGACTCATTTAGAAGCTCAGGTTTGGCTTTCTCCTTTTATGCTTTACTAGGGAAAATAACTTTTTTTTTCATTGACACTTCCTTCTCAGATTGGGACTCCTTTAATTGGTGAGATCTGAATATTATTTACCAAGATTGTAGTGAGAAATTGGGGTGCCCTTGTGTGGTTCAGGGAAACCTATCCAGGGACTTACCTTCACTGTTCTCCTACCAATCACGTTTTCTTGGTCAGATTCAGAACTCTTCATGCCACCATTAGTTTGGGAGACTCTTGGTCCAAAGTGACAGGTCCAAGGCGCATTTATATTAACCCAACAGAACTGTATTAAAATGAAATCTTGTTGGGTCTAGTCTCCTAAATTCTGAAATGAGGCTTATTAGAGCAATGTGTCAAAATCTGTTGATACACTTTTTAAATTTTCTCATTTAATTTCTGACTTTGGAAATTACAAGCTACAGGAATATATGCTGCTTGAAAAAAATGCAGATATGTATAGATCAATAAAAGGTTGCCTTTAAATCCCCTTTCTCCTACCTGAACTCTACTTTCCTTACCAGGTGACTGTTTTTCAGGACATCTTCTTTGTGTGCATTTACGTAAAACATATCAAAGCTACTGCTGGGTCATTGGTAAAATTAAAAACAAAATTTAGGTGCCAGCCGAGTGGCTCCTTGATTAAGAGTTGGCATGGGAGCACGAGCTCTGAGCAGCAGGGCTGCGGGTTCGGATCCCACTGGGCCAGGGACGTTGCGCCCTCTACAGCTAAGATGCTAAACAATAGCTCGACCTGGAGCTGGGCTGCCGTGAGTGGCCGGCGATGGCGTAGGCTGCAGTGGGGCTGCAGTGGGCTGCTGTAAGCTACCGTGAGTGGCCGGCAGCCAGCGTGAGCTGCCATGAGCCACCATCCCATGGCTGGCTACCGATCTGCCTCAGCTGGGAAAAGCACAATGATCACAATACCAACATGGGCCAGTGAAGCAACGTCCTCCACAACTAGACTGAAGAACAGAAGTACAGCAACTTGTTTGTTCCCTTTCCCCAATTCCCCAACACTGTTCCCTCCCCCAATTCCCCAATAAAATCTTTAAAAAAAAAAACCAAAAATCTAAACAATTCCAGGTTCGTGAAATTAATCTATAAACAAAAATTAAATTAAAAGCAAAACCAAAAGCCTCATTATTTTACTCCATCTTGTATTTTATTTCTTACAATTAATGGCTAATAAAAGAAAAAAGTAATTGTAGCACCCTATGATTTTAAGATAGTAACTGTAACTTAAATGCTAACCCACTCCATTAAACAAGGAACCTTTTCCCAGGGCTATAGAGGGGTTTTATTTAAGTTTCCCAAACCCAGTGACAACTAATATTTATTAGTTATTAAAACCAAAAAATTAATAAATTGTATTAATACTCCCCATAGCTGAAAAATCCCACAAATGATACATTTTCTCTAGGGACATGATTCATTGACTCAAAGTAGAATACAGCTACTAAAATATCTATAATTACAAGTCTCAGGCTGGGATCTGGCTACTTTTGGGGGTTATTTGGTGGTATGCCGAGGGGTATTGCTAATGATACGGTGAATATGCTCCAGAGAGCAATTTTTACTCAAGGGTAAGGAATCATATGTAGTTTTCAAAAATGTTACACAGAAGCTTTTTTCTTCAAAGAAATATATAGAGAACCCCAATATATAAAACAACATTTAGGGAACTGCATTGGCAGTAGTAGTGGCTGATGAGAGTTCTCCCTCCACACACACCCTGGGGGTGTGTGGCCCCTTCCCTCCTGTTGCACCCTGGGGACATGCTTGGAACACCAAGCCTCACTGCCCTCCAATTTCAGTTCAAAGACTGGGCATCCTGCCTGGGACACAGGAAGGTCCACAGAGGGGTACAAGAGCCACCAATGCTGTGCCAATCAATCCTGCTTGCCATTTTTTCAGGTAAATGACAGTCAGAGGTAGCAATAGTTGCTCTTTTATGTGAAGTCCAGTTCAATAAATCTAAACTTTTCTGGCTTTTCAGTCTTTTGGGTTGCAATAAGTTTCAACAAATACTTCTGCTGTGCTAATATAGCTCTCAGATCCTGTGGTACCTCCATTTTAGGTCATAGTAAACAGAGATCTATCTTCCCAAACTGTGAGACAGTGCTGAATGTTCCCAATAGTGTCCTGTCCCTAATCTGGTTTCTGAATATTCTGTTTCTTTTCCTTTTTTGTATATTCTTCTAGTCGAAGAAGCCACTTTGCCCAGTACTGGGAACAGAGCTTTGTGTCCATGAAATGTGGGTGGGCAGGAGATCCATCTTTGTAGGCCACCACAATTAAGCCACATTGAACCTAGGAAGAAACACAGTAGTACCTGAATTTAGGTTCATTTCCTTCTTACTCCAGGGCAAACTCAGAACAAAACAAGCTACAGTAATATCTCCTAATTCAATTTCTAAGATGGGTTGATAAAGACTGCACCAGGATACACAAGAACACAAAGATGACAGATAAGACACTGAAGAATGGACTGTAACAACAAAAAGCCTAGGAAGAGGGGGGAAGGACTTTTTGAAGTGGTAGATGGACAAGGAACAGAGTAAGCAGTGGGATACAAACAGAATTAAGAACCATAAGGAGTTAAGTAGCTATAAACAAGCATTGAAGAAAGCGTTAAGCAGAGGCTCAGTGTCCTGACCTGAAAGCTGTAGTTGGCATCGTGGTTTATGGCACCCACGTACGCCACAACCTGCAGTGGGTTGTCAAATGTATTTCTGATGAAAGGTTTTGGTTTCTCCGAGGTCTTCCAATCAATCACGCATAGCTTCCCCCTAAAGAGAAACCAAAGGAAGTCTTTGTAGATAGCAGTTCAAACAAACAAAAAAAACACTATTAGGTTAACCCTCTTCCACATAGTTTATTATTGTCACCCAATGACTAATTGTTGCTTCTATTCTCCACTTTCCAAAAACACAGCTCCTCTGAGCTTTACTTCTTAGGATTAGAAAGGTCTTGATGTTCTCTTTCTTTTGAGCCCTTTATTCAGTAAAGGAGTCTGTCAGGGGTCTGATGGAAAATGCTTCCTAACTCACAACAATGAGACCTACAGGTGCAGGACCACAAGGGAATGCTGGGAAATAACTTTTCCATAGCTCAAGTTTCTACACTCTCTTGAAATTCCTTTGGACCTCCACGGCCTCCTTTCCTTTAATGGCTGACAGGGGAATTGAAACTACACCTATTATTATCTTAGTTGATTTTGCTTTGAATGAACCCTAAGAGACCCAGTAGCAAAGTCCCCATCATAAAAGACTAAACATCATAGTGTCTCAGAAATTCTCTTTCTCAAAAACCAAAACTGGGATGCAAATCCATCAACACTTAATAGGCAACGACTATATACAGAAATACAAATATGGAGACCTGTTCCCTGCCCTAAAAGGTTATACACACAGTAGGGTGTTTTACTATGAGGGATACCTCATAGTAAAGGAGGGGGAAAATTCCTGCCACCTTTTTCTTTTTTTTTAAGTCAAAAAACAAGTGCATTCCTCCCCACTTCCCCCATCTTGGTAGGATTTTTATACTTACCAACTGCAGTCAAAGGATCATAGGGTGGGTGAGTGGATTAACAACTGAGTGGATCAAAAGACTCCATTTGTTCAATTTGCCTTTCATGACTTCAATTTCAAAATTAGCAGTTCAGAGGGAGATTTTGTACAATATATGTTGCCTACCTGTCACACAGCTCTAGAGTTACAACTTAAGCAAGGTATTTATAAAGTCAGTCTAGCGTAGCACTGTCTAAAATTAGAAGTAGAATGCAAACTACATATATCACTTTAAATGTTCTAGTAGCCACATCAAAAAAAGAAAGAAAAGAAAGAGGGCCAGCCGAGTGGCTCAGTTGGTAAGATGGTAAGAGCACAAGCTCTGAACAGCGGGGCTGCCTGTTCGACTCCCACATGCACCAGTAACCTGCACCTCTATAGCTAAGATTGTGAACAACAGTTCGACCTGGGGCTGGGCTGCCGTGAGTGGCCGGCAACGACGTAGGCTGCAGTAGGCTGCAGTGGGTTGCAGTGAGCTGCTGTGAATGGCTGGCAGCCAGTGTGAGCTGCTATGAGCCGCTGTGGGCCATCCAATGGCCGGCGACCGACTGCCTCAGCAGGGAAGAGCGCAATGATCATAATACCTACATGGGCCAGTGAAGCGATGTCCTCCACAACTAGACTGAAGAACAAAAAGACAACAACTTGGCTGTTCCCTTCCCCCAATTCCCCAATAAAATCTTTTTTAAAAAAAAGAAAAACAGGTGAAATTTTAGTATTTTATTTAACCCAACATATAAAAATATTATCATTTCAACATATAATCAAAATTAAAAAGTTATTAGTGGGCTATTTTATATTCTTTTTATATTAAGACATTGAAATCTAGCTGCTATTCCCAGTTCTCTTCCTTGAATAAATCAAAATACCCTAAAAATAAAGATTTCTGCCTTGGACTACTGTTTCTAGCAAGTACTATAACTTATAGAACCTAATGTGAAAAAAAAAATCTTAGTAGTATAAACCCAAACTAAAATTGCAATAAGACAGTCTACAAATAGCTCTTAAACAAATGAAAAGGTGCTCAGCTTAATTTATGTGAAATGCAGATTGAAATTACAAGATACAATGTTATCAAAATTACTAACACTGTGTTGCTAAAGGTGTGCACAAATAAGCACACTTGAATATGTGATAACTTAAAATGCACGTACTCTTTCACCCAGGAATTTCTCTTTTAGGTATGGACTGGAGGAGAATAATGGTTTGATATACTGGGTGCAAGTGACAGTGCCTGGAAAACTTAAGAAGTACTCATGCCCAGGCCTATTTCAGATCAACTGAATTTACCTAAACTGCATATATCACCACCAAAACAAACAAATGAACCCATGTAGTTGCCTAGAGAAACTCTTAACAGTAGTATACAAGGAGACACATTCACTGCTGCAGTTTGTAATCTGAAAAACTAGAAATAACTTGAATGTTCCCAACAGGGAAATGGATACGGTTCATTCATACAACGGAATACTAAACAGCAGTAAAAAGAGAGAACAGGATCAAAACAATAATGCTAACATTTATCGACTAGATAGTATGCATTTTAAGTACTGTACAGGGAATGTCTCATTTAATCTTCATAACAACCCTATGAGGTAGGTACTATTATTTGTCTTATTTTACAGATGAACAAATTGAGGTACATAGAGGCTAGGTAACTAGACTAAGGTTAAGATGAAAAGCCAGGCAGCCTGGCTCTAGAGCCCAATATCTCAGTTCTGTGACTAGAGACTTATGATCTAGAGATTTCTATATATTGTGACTCTCACAGATATGTAACAAGACAATGTTGTGTTTGTGGATTACACAGTGTTGTGTGTGCACATGTGTGTAAGAGTGCAGAAAGTAGACTGGAATTATGTTGTGTGTGCATTATATATAGTGCTGTGTGTGGGGTAAATAGTATAGGAAGTAGACTAGAAAGGCACAGTACCAAATTTACAGCAGTGACTGTCTTTGGCCAGGGGATTGTAAGAGAAGGGAAGAGGTGGTTAAAGGTGATATGAGCTTAATTTATAATATTTCTTTAAAAAAATTTGAAAGCAAATGTGACAAAGTTAATTATGTCACAAAGTTAAAAATGTGACAAAGTTAACAGCTGTTAATTATAAGGAAAATTATTTTAAAAGAAAAGAACGTTGCAGATCTATATTAGCTAATAAGGAAAGATCTCCAAAATACATTTCCAGTGAAAAAAAAGCAGGGTTTAGCATTTTTTGTTAGTAAGTGTGGGTGGGGACAAATGATTGTACATGTCACTGAATCACAAGAACTTTTTAAAAAGAAGTTGAAAAAAGAATGGGGCAGAAGGATTCCTGGAAGATGGCAGAGTAGGAAGCATCAGGAATCTGCCCACCTAGACAAAAACTGCAACGGCAGAATCTATCTGATAAAACTATTATAGAAATATAGAGTTTACTGAAGGCTTAGATGGTGAATTGTGTTTAATTTTTGTCAATTTTCAGCTCTTAGCACAATAGCAGTTACTCATTCAGGGGCAGGCAGCTGTGCACACATTCCTAGAACAGCTTGTGCAGTTGTGCGAGTCAGTGGACAAAAGGACCATGTCCTACAAATATCAGGGATCTGTGCTCTCATTACTGATTGCTGTTTCTGATCACACGGATGCAAAGAGGAGGGTGGCCACTGTTGCTGTACCTCCCCGCATTGTTGCAAGCCCCGCTCCCTCCAGCTGAAGTTGAGTTCCAGGGGATTTCAAGGGCTGGCACCATTCCCCTGTCATTTTTGTCTTTTTTCCCTTCTGGGAGTCAGACATCAAAACTATGACATCCAAATGCAACTGCATACATGGGGGAAATTAGAAAGTGATTGCACATGTCCAGGGAAAGGCACAGGCTCAGAAAAGACCTGAGAAGACCTTAAGTTTTCACCTCAGGCTTATGCTTGGCACAGACATAGCCTACAACAGTAATAAACCCCAAACAATAAACAAAACCCATCAAACCCTGGGGTACAGGGAAAATCTGATTTCCAGAGTTACCACAATTTTAGATTCAAATGTCCAGTTTTCAACAACAAAAAACATCACAAAGTATACAAAGAAGCAAGAAAGTATGGCCCATTCAAAGGAAAAAAAAAATCAACAGAAACTGTCCTTGAAAAAGATTTGATGGCAGATCTACCAAAGAGTTTTTTAGAGTCTTAAAGATGCTCAAAGATCTCAATAAAGGTAAGTACATAGGCAATTATAACATCTAGTAGTTCTGTAATAGTTTGCAACTCCATTTTTTGTTTTCTACATGATTTAAGAGAGTAATATATATATTTTCAAATTGTTAGTCTAAAAGCTAGTATTACTGTAACTTTGGTTTGTAACTCCATATTTTGTTTTTTTTATATAATTTAAAAGACTAATGCAGCTAAAAAATTATTAGTTTATGATTTGGGGAAAACAATGTAGAAAGACATAATTTTGTGACAGCAACAACTGAAAGGGATGGGGACAGAGCTGTTAAAGAAGTAGAGACTTTTTGGGCCGGCCGAGTGGTGCGTTGGTTAAGAGCTGGCTTGGGACGCCAGCTCTGAGCAGTAGGGCCCTGGTTCGGATCCCACATGAGGGCCAGTGACACTGCGCCCTCTACAGCTAAGATGGTGAACATCAGTTCGACCTGGAGATGGGATGCCGTGGTGACAGCATACGCTGCACTGGGGCTGGCCAGCAGCTGGCGTGTGCTGCTGTGAGAGGTGGTTCAATGGCCGGTGAGCGACTGCCTCACCTGGGAAGAGCGCAATGGTAATACCAACATGGGCCAGTGAAGCGACGTCCTCTACAACTAGAATGAAGGACAAAAGGAGAGCAACTTGTCTGTTCCTCTTCCCCAATTCCCCAACGCTGTCCCCCTCCTCCAATTCCCCAATAAAATCTTTTTTAAAAAAAGAAGAGTTTTTGTATGTTTTTAAAATTAAGCTGGTATAGATTCAAATTGGACTATTATAACTAGGATGCTAAGTGTAATCCTCATGGTAATCACAAGGAAAACAACTATATAGAATATACACAAAAGGAAATGAGGAAGGAATTTAAACATTTTACTACAAAAAAGTGAACAAAAGAAGACAGTAAAATGTGAAAAATGAGAGACAAAAAAGACATATAGAAAACAACACAAAATGACGATAAGTCACTCCGTATCTGCACTTTAAATGTAAATAGATTAAACACTTCAATCAAAAGACAGAGATAGGCAGAATGGATAAAC